CGTCATAGAGCAATTTTACAAACCAAAACAGAAGAAATTTTTCAAATTCAAGTTCAATTGTAATCCATTAACAGGTTTTCAGAATATTGTGATTACAAGCTATTTTTGCATACATAATGAGCCCATGACCTTTGACCTTATGAACCAAGAATCTACTCAGTTCATTGGCTCTGCAAGAAACATACATGACCTAAGTTGGCAGGAATCCATCAATCGGTTCTTGAGATAACGCGATCACGAGCTGTTTTTGCATACATAATGTGCCCTGTGATCTTTGAACTTTGACCTTGTGACCCCTACATCTAATCAGTTCATCGGCTCTGCAAGTAACATACATGACCTAAGTTTGGCAGCAATCCATCAATCGGTTCTTCAGATAACGCGATCACAAGCTCGTTTTGCATACATAATGAGCCCTGTGGCCTTTGACCTTTGACCTCGTGACCTCAAAATCTAATCAGTTTTTTGGCTTTGCAAGTAACATACATGACCTAAGTTTGGCAGCAATCCATCAATCGGTTCTTCAGATAATGCGATCACGAGCTCGTTTTGCATATATAATGAGCCCTGTGACCTTTGACCTTTGACCTCGTGACCCCAAAATCTAATCAGTTCATCGGCTCTACAAGATACATACATGACCAAAGTTTGGCAGGAATCCATCAACCAGTTCTTCAGATAACGCGATCACGAGCTCGTTTTGCATACATAATGAGCCCTGTGACCTTTGACCTTTGACCTCGTAACCCCAAAATCTAATCAGTTCATCGGCTCTACAAGATACATACATGACCAAAGTTTGGCAGGAATCCATCAACCAGTTCTTCAGATAACGCGATCACGAGAACGGGACGTACGTACGTACAGACGTACGTACGTACGTACGTACGGACGTACGGACGGACGTACGGACGGACGGACAACCCGAAAACATAATGCCTCCGGCTACTTCGTAACGGAGGCATAAAAATATATATTTTCCTCCAAAATGCTGAACCACCCCGGCCCTTACAATTTCGGCACGAAATTGGTGTTTATTCAAATTATTACAATATTTGCCCCTACGCCCCTTTCCAAGGGATATGGGGGTCAAGATCCATCTAATGGCATGTATGGACATTCATTGTGGGGAAACTAACCTATTAAAAAAAATATATATTTTCCTCCAAAATGCTGAACCACCCCGGACCTTCTAATTTCGGCCCCAAAGTTGTGATAATTCAAATTTTTACAATATTTGCCCCTACGCCCCTTTCAAAGGAATATGGGGGTCAGGATCCATCTAATGGCATGTATGTACATTCATTGTGGGGAAACTAGCCTATTAAAAAAATATAATATTTTCCTTAAAGATGTTGAACCACCCCGGCCCTTACAATTTCGGCACTAAAGTTGTGATAATTCAAATTTTTACAATATTTGCCCCTTCGCCCCTTTCAAAGGGATATGGGGGTCAGGATCCATCTAATGGCATGTATGTACATTCATTGTGGGGAAACTAGCCTATTCAAAAAATATAATATTTTCCTCCAAAATGCTGAACCACCCCGGCCCTTACAATTTTGGCACGAAAGTTGTGATAATTCAAATTTTTACAATATTTGCCCCTTCGCCCCTTTCAAAGGGATATGGGGGTCAGGATCCATCTAATGGCATGTATGTACATTCATTGTGGGGAAACTAGCCTATTAAAAAAAAAAAATATTTTCCTCCAAAATGCTGAACCACCCCGGCCCTTACCATTTCGGCCTGAAATTGGTGTTTATTCAAATTATCACAATATTTGCCCCTACGCCCCTTTCAAAGAGATATCGGGGTCAAGATCCATCTAATGGCATGTATGGACATTCATTGTGGGGAAACTAACCTATTAAAAAAAATATATATTTTCCTCCAAATTGCTGAGCCACCCCGGACCTTCTAATTTCGGCCCGAAAGTTGTGATAATTCAAATTATCACAATATTTGCCCCTACGCCCCTTTCCAAGGGATATGGGGGTCAAGATCCATCTAATGGCATTCATTATGGGGAAACTAACTTATTAAAAAAAAAAAATATTTTCCTCCAAAATGCTGAACCACCCCGGACCTTCTAATTTCGGCCCGAAAGTTGTGATAATTCAAATTTTTACAATATTTGCCCCTACGCCCCTTTCAAAGGGATATGGGGGTCAGGATCCATCTAATGGCATGTATGTACATTCATTGTGGGGAAACTAGCCTATTAAAGAAAAAAAATATTTTCCTCCAAAATGCTGAACCATTCCGGCCCTTACAATTTCGGCACGAAAGTTGTGATAATTCAAATTTTTGCAATATTTGCCCCTTCGCCCCTTTCAAAGGGTATGGGGGTCAGGATCCATCTAATGGCATGTATGTACATTCATTGTGGGGAAACTAGCCTATTAAAAAACTAGATGGAATTTTGACTGCTCGCAGTCGAAAATGATGCCTCCGCCATAGAGCAATTTAAACAAGTTTGGAGTTTAAATCTCCAGTGGTTCTTGAGATATCATGATAACAATCTCAATGTATGGAATTTCATAAGTTGACCTCTGTGACCCTTGACCTTTGACCTACGTGCTCCAAAATCTAATCAGATTGTCTTCCTATGGTGATACACACTATCATTAAGTTTGAAGTTTAAATCTCCAGTGGTTCTTGAGATATTATGATATGGTGATACATACTATCATTAAGTTTGAAGTGAAAATTCTCCAGTGGTTCTTGAGATATCGCGATAACGATCTCAATGTATGGAATTTCATAAGTTGACCTCTGTGACCCTTGACCTTTGACCTACGTGCTCCAAAATCTAATCAGATTGTCTTCCTATGGTGATACACACTATCATTAAGTTTGAAGTTTAAATCTCCAGTGGTTCTTGAGATATTATGATAACAATCTCAATGTATGGAATTTCATAAGTTGACCTCTGTGACCCTTGACCTTTGACCTACATGCTCCAAAATCTAATCAGATCGTCTTCCTATGGTGATACATACTATCCTTAAGTTTGAAGTTTAAATCTCAAATGGTTCTTGAGATATCGCGCTAACAAACTCAATACAAGGAATTTCATAAGTTGACCTCTGTGACCTGTGACCTTTGACCTACGTACTCCAAAATCTAATCAGATCGTCTTCCTATGGTGATAAATACTATTCCCGAGTCTTAAGTTTAAATCTTAAATGGTTCTTGAGATATTGTGATAACGGTCAAACGGGACGGACGTACGGACGGACGTACGGACGGACAACCCGAAAACATGATGCCTCAGGCACCACCTTCGGTAGCGGAGGCATAAAAACGGTGTGGAATCAATCAGAAAAGGTTGATCATCTAGCATAAGTATTGATGTGTACTGCAAGGTTCTGGAATCATCAAAATGATAAGAAGTTTGGCCCAGTCTTGGTAAAGTTACAAGCACTGTACACAGTAAGATGTATATGGGGCTACACAAACATGTTGCATAAAAGTCCATCCTGATTTTTATGTTGTTACATGTCATATTTAGAATATGAAAGCATTTGAATAGCCATGCTTTTCAGGGAACATTTTTATCTGATGTTCTCTCACACTTGCAAAATAACAATGATAATTCTCCCAAATTATTTTTCACCTATTCCCAGAACTCAACCTTCTCTATTTAAAATATAAGGCAATAATAATTATAATAGCTTCTTGTATATGACTAATGTCTGTCATGCCGTGACACCCCTGGCCCTCCTACATTATTACTATTATTATCCCAGGTCAAATACGCAGCGTTCCAGCACATTGGGTCCCCTAACACCTGGGGGTGTTTCACAAAGATCCTAAGTTGAACTTATCTCTAAGTTGGACTTAAAATTTATGGGAAGCCATTAGCATCCTTGAAAACATTTTGTAATTTTTTTTTTAGAAGGCATAAAATGTTGATTCAAATCATTCATATTTTCTATTATCATGGGAGATTTCATGTTCTTGGCGTGGAATTTATAAAAAAAGTCTAAAACACTTGAATTTCTGCTTTTGGATATATTTCATTTTAAGGCTCCAATGGCTGTCCATAATTTTTAAGTCCAACTTAGTGTTAAGTTCTACTTAGGATCTTTGTGAAACACCCCCCTGGGTGGAGAGTGGCAAAATGTGGATTAGCGTCTTGCCACAATACATTCATACTGTGCTCATCATTTGAAAGTCAATCGAATGAACCACTCACTCTACTACTACAACACCTCCACTTAAACCTATAGCAGAGCTGCCAACCTTGTGCGACCAAAAAAAGGAATCGTGATGGCCAAAAACAGGAATTTCAAGCAAAAAAAAGGAATTCATAAAAACGAAACTTACAATCACGAGCGACACACTCCTAATGCAGAAATGTTCATTCTTCATGCCGTTTTTCCATACAAGCAGGTTTTTTTGTTTTGGTATTATCGGCATTTCATTCTTTTTAAGAATATTTTTCTCTTCAAGTATGTTTTAAAATTAGTTTTCTATTGAATTTGTGATCAAATCACCATTTTAGGGCAGTTGTTCAACGTGTGGTATGTAAAAAAAAAAAGAAAACAGTATTTTATAGAGAAAAAACGTAATACCATAATTTGGAGGAAAAAACGGAGTAATTCCGGCAAAAACGGAATGGTTGGCAGCTCTGCTATAGAAGTAAAGGGATAAGCTCATATGTTTTATTGGATCAGTCTGTCTGGAAACAACTGCCCTGGTCCCATAAAATCTTTGCTGAAGACTCATTCACATAAATCAGTGAGACAGGAACTGTAACACCAATATCTGATATCATTTTCAACATAAACTTCAGGGCCCGTCTTATTAAAAGAGTTACGATTGATCCAAATCAAATCAATGGTAAGTTCTCCAATCAATCGCAAGTTTGCAGTCTCCTATCTCTTATGTACATAGTTGTGATTGATATCAATCGCATAAGTTGCGATTGTTGATATTAACTCTTTAGAAGACGGGGCCCAGGAGATCAATTTGGGAAGTATCTTAGGTTCTAGTATCATTGCTCATTACGTGAGACTAGTCTTTTACAGAGGTTTACATTTATAGTTTTTGTTTCATCTTATAAATATGGCCTACTTACTGTTAGGAAACATGCAGAGAGTATCTTGACATTGCTTTTGTACGAGCAGCAGACGGTAGCAGTAGTGATGTCATAGATCTCCACAAGGTCGTTAGTGATGACCGCATAGAGCTGACCATCGGGTGACCATAGAACGATGTCCGAAACTGAAAGAATAACGCACACAAAGTCTGAAAGTGAATCACTATAGAGTTGTGGTAATAGTGGCGATGTGCATTTTCGCTTGAAATATACATTCAGAAATGATGAAAAATGAAGTGCACTGAACCTAAAACCTCACTTTTTTCTTTTTTTTTGGCTCTCGAAAATTTGAAAATTTGTACCCCCCCCCCCTTGAGCACCAGGGGGGGGGGGGGGGGGCCATCTCCCCAAAAAGGTAAAATTAACGTGTTTTTACACATTTTTTTTCCCCGGGGGCCAGGCCCTCCCCCCCCCCTGGATCCGCCACTGCGCTTGTTGATACCCTTTTTGTTAGATGAATTTACTCTTCATATTTCGATTTGTAAAGCGTTGATGCTTGCCAGAAGCATGCAGTGTCTTATGTTATGGCAAGACCCTGGGCAGCATCTCACGAAACCGTCATAAGTACAAGTTCACCTACATCTCATTGAAACGCATGTATCAAGTTTAACACGTGTTTCAATGGGATGTCAGTGAACTTGTACTTATGACGGTTTCATGAAATGCTGCCCAGGCTAACATGTACATTATGTTAAAGTGGCACGTTCCCGCCAGTGTAGTTATCGCTGCTCTAGTCATCGCCATCTTGGTTCCGAAGATCGACTTCTAATTTGCATACAGCTGTCAATCAAAGTACGCGCGGCCTGGCCTGCCTTCGCCAAGCCAGCTGATCGCTGACGATCGCGACGTCACGAAAGTGGGCGGAAACAGCAGCCGAATCTTAGAGCCGAACTGCGATTGGCATTACTTCGGCACATGTATGCGATAATCGGTATTGTCCGGGCATTCGGAACATGCCATCTGCGTAAGAGCCGTATTCTGTTGGTGTCAATAGGCAGCTAGCACCGTCCGCCAGCGGGTACGTATTTTGAACGCCCTCTGGAATACGGGGAACATGCCTCTTTAAAGGTAAAGACCAGTATTGGAAACGCCCCAATTTAAAAAAAAATGAAATGGAAGCTCTCATTACCAATCATGTGAAAGAATATGTTTTGACTAATACGTGATGATAAAAAATTTGCTGAGAAACCGCCTACTAATTCATATATTTGGTAAATTTGTTTCTCTCGTGGTCTGTGAGAGATATAGGGTAGTCCCATATACATCTTTCTGTGTATAGTGCTTGTAACTTTACGAAGAATGGGCCAAATTTCTTATCATTTTGATGATTCCAGAACCTTGCAGATGCTAGATGCTAGATGATCAACCTTTTCTGATCGATTCCACAACGTTTCTTTCACAATGCAATCGCATGACCATAACTGGTCTTTACCTTTAATGTAAAGTGAAACTCACCTTTCTTAATATTGGTTGTGTAAGCTGCTCTGCCTTTGAGTAAGTTCCACGTCCGTAACGTCTTGTCTTTGCTGACGGAGAGGGCTATCTTACCAGAAGGGTGTACTGCTACTGAGTTAACAGCATCTCTGCAAAATATGTACAATTTTGAATAAAGAGGCAATCAGAAATAAAGTTTATTGCTAAAGCATTCACACACCATTCAAGAAAGCGAGAAAGAAGGAAAAAGAAAAAGAGAAAGAAAGAAAATACAGAAGGCCATTTTGCCACAAGTGTGAACTGCTACTGAATCTACATCAACCCTAAAAAATATGTACATTGGTGATGTAAGGACAGAGGGGTTACACAGTATGACACAAAAACTTTATCAACATTAAAATGCCCTTGTCAGATGTACAAGATAACCCTAACGTGTGATAATGATGAAATAACATAGCCATTAGTTCAATAAGTGCCCTTGAAAGATTTCATCTCTCTTTCTGTCCAACCTCAGGCAGCATTTGGGTCATCAAAATGAACTATCAGGATCGAGGCACAATTGCTCAGTAGTAGAGCAGTGGTCTCGTAACCAGGAGGCCCAGGGTTTGAAACCAAGTCCAACACTAGTGCCCTTCAGTAAGGCATTAATCCTCATTACCAAGTCCCTCGGAGAGGACTTGAAGCCATATATCCCCTGGCTGCTTACTTTGATACAAGCATACACATTTCTGAGCAGTCAGGTAAAGCAAACAAACAATCAAAACATGAAAAGTATAATTTGAATAAACTAATTAATTGGACTGTGAAAAGGATATCACATTTATTTGTGCCACAATCACTTACTTGTGGCCCTTGAGAATCTTCATACACTCCCAGTTCTTGGTGCCCCATATGCAAATGACCCCATCTTCTCCACCACTGACCATGTGGCCATCGTCATGGTAACTTAGTGATGTCACAGAACCTAAAGGAAATAACACCAAGATGAACATACTTCTAAGATAATATTTTTCAATAAATTGTAAAAATTAAATTAAAGAAAAAGAGGAAGACAGATGATTGAGGATGCCATAAAGATTAGATGGCTAGAAAGTATGACCAAAAACAAAAAACAAAAAACAGACAAATTCTACAGATAGCTGTATAAAGCTGCACAGGACAGAATATACTGGAGAAAGTTTGCCTATGGGGTCACCACGAGTCAAACTTTATTAATGGTTAAATAAGAAGGATAAAATCGTCATCCTCCCTCTTAAACAATTTGATAGAGGGGGGGGGGGGGGTGACAATTGCACATGTCTCCACAAGCTATGCCACTGACAACACTTTATTGTGCCAAGATATTCACATGCTGTATATTGCAAGTGGTAAATAGTTTCAAATTCAATGACTGCCATAAAATATCCAAAAGATTTCTTATTTTTGTATTAATTAAGGGGTAATAAAACACCTATTACAAATAGGTGTTTTTCCTTAACCCCTCTCCCCCCCCCCCCCCTTGAGTAAAAAAATGGGGGGGGGGGAATGCCATCTGACTACATTCCCCCCTTTTTGAGTAAGGAAATTGAGAAAAATAGGGAAAATAAGGGAAAATGAGGGAAAAATAGGGGTAAATCAGGAAGAAGAAAAAAAAAGAATATTACAAAACTCGGGGGAAAAAAAATCAGGAAACCAATTCAAATCGGATAATTATCAGGCCTGATTTATAACCTTCCTGAACCTCCTTCATAAAAAGAAGGAAAGCTGTGACTACCTACCATCATGCTGCAGGAGAGATCCCAGCTCAACATTCTTCTCCAGATCATAAAGATTGACAAGTTCATCGGTGCTCCCCGAGGCTAAGTGACGACTGCTTGCGGCCAGGGATTTGATGCAGCCGGTGTGGGCATTGTTTGTAAACCTCCCTTTGAAGGAATACTGGCAACCATCCTGAAATTATAATAAGTGTAAGTTGAGGAGTCAGTGACACAAAGACGTAACTCCATTTTGGCCAGTTTGAGAAAAATTGGCTTATGCGTCACTGAGCACTTCGGCCTTAAGGAGTTAAGTCTATGTTTCACTAGCCATTGACTTCAATAGGGTGCTGGTGGAGTTAAGTCTTTGTGTTTCCTGGAAAGTCCACATTTTTCTGAACATTTTGATATCAAAAACTCATTTGGCAAAATATGGAGTTACGTCTTTGTGTCTCTGAACCCTCGAAGCATTAGACTAGATATCTCAACTAATGATATCCTATGAGTAAGGTCTCTCCTTCAAGTTCTGGCATGGAGGCCATTACTTATTATAGAAAGATATACATCTTTAGCTTTCATTTTAATGTGGGCATAGGGCCTACAGAGAAAATTCACACTTTCATTTTTTATCCATCTTGAACCAAATCGCTGGAGACAGTAAAATGATTGAAGTTTCACTCCTTTATCCGACAAACATCAGACAAACATCAAAGTTATATGTTACAGAAAAGTCAGAATGTATTCTCAAGAGGTTTTAACATTACAAACAGCAAATTGATGGAGAAAAAAGTTAATTAATTTCACAAATCATCATGGTTCTGAATTTGGTTTTGTGATCATCGATCATCGATCTACTGTACATCGATCTGGCTCCCCTTATCGCATACACAAACAATGTCTTTTGTGTTTGATTGCCATTATTTTTACGAATACCTGTAGATCTATAGCTTCCGACGTGAGACGAGGGCAAAATTTTCGCCAGATTCCTGCGACAATTGCTTTTTACTAGTTTTTAAACCCCCTTCCGGTTTCCCCCCTTGGCCTTGTTGTGCCATGGTCAAGGATTACAGTCTGTGTATGGCCATAGAAAAGGTTGACAAATGTCAGTTTTTATAACGTATTCCCCATAAAAAATGGTTATTTCTGTCTAGATCTAGGCCATTTAATATCAGTGCGCAGCGCCGTGGAGCTCCGACGCACCTGCACCCGGTGCGGCGGCGGCAGCAAAGCTCTGTCGAGTAAGTTATCATGCACGCGCCACTCAAGATCAAGCTAGCTCAGCAGTGCAGTTCTACCAGCAAATTTTAATGAATCAATAGTAATCACTGTGTATACATGTGTTAAATGTCATACCTCCGATTCATTTTCCAATAAATCGTATCCGAAAGTGGTCCTTTCGTAGCAGCCAGCAAAGACTTGAAGGCACATGTGCGCCGCCATGTTGTTTTAAAAGAATATGAATATTCATAAGGCGAGACGTCACACAAGCACATGTCTGCAAAGGCCAGCGAGAATCACGTAAGCTAAATTTGGATCCTACCGCGTCACAGAATATTCGCGTAAGTAAAAATTATTAGAAGAGTTTGAAAATGAATGTGATGTCTCAGTGATGCCCATAATTATGATATTAAAATCGCTTGTCAGTCTTAATTTGTTGAATGAAACGCAACGCTCGCGGCTTTCATCAGTTCAACGGACGACGCAGTTGCTGGTCGCCTGAAACTCCGGGCACATCACACCGCCCCTGGCCTGGTGGCCGTCTAAGCAGGGAGTTGCCGCAGCGAGTTTGTTTATACTGTAGCTGTAGCCTGTTATTGTACCTAAAATGCGGCATTTTGCCATTTAAAGCCTGTCCAATCTGAAAAAAACATCAGTCGTGTCAATGTAAAGATCTAGTTGTGATGCCATTTAGATTTACATTTAATATTCATGTTAAATCGCTGAAATTGTAAAGCTGAGTGAGTCGATCGGTTACACAAAATGGTTTCATGGTAATAGTTTCATTCTCTTTCTTCTCTACTCAATATTGATAGTCAAATATAATAGTATTTTGTTTTTTATTTGAATGCAGGTGCCAAGATTCATCTTTGACTTGAGCTGAACTGATCTTTAAGGAATCGTCTTCCGGCAAACAAGGCAGGCACCATGAAGGTGAAGAGGTACAAACACGCCCGCAAGTACCTGGGCTTCTACAAGCACAACTTCAACTTCCGAGAGCCTCACCAGGTCCTCATAGATGGAACCTTCACGCACATGGCTCTCCAAAACAAGATTAACATCAAGGAACAGCTGCCTAAATATTTAGGAGGTGAAGTGCAGGTAAGACCAATTTTGTCTTAAGCCAGACTATCCTACTTGTAGCTACTCGCTCCCTCTATATAGCAAACAATGCCTAATCGGTGACCATTGGTCCCCCATGATCCTCTTTTTCTTATGTTAATTTAGAGCTGATTTGATGAGATAAACACCTGTCAGTGACCTTGCAGGGAGGTCTAATCCCCCTGGCCAAACTAGTGCAGACAGGCTTTAAGTTAGAATCTGACATTTTTTGGCTCTTTTAAAAGATTTTCATAGAATCGTGATGTCCTTCAAAATTTACATAAAATATAAAGCATTTGTATGTGTTTATCATTTGACCTCAGCCTCAGTTTCTGTCTCCCTTCTCTCTCTCTCGCGCGTTCTTCTTTCATAACTTGCTCTCATCATTCTTTCATGTAGTCATATCTTGTTTCTCTTTGTTGTTTCATTCTCTGTCTTGTCATACATTTTGTTCTTGCTACAAATCAGGAGTTACCTACATCTGTGTGTGAAAACTCTGTAACTTGTTCCTCTAAAGGCCTCTATTATCAAGCACAGATACATACATTGTTCATTATAATGCAGTATATATATAATTCCACCTTTATTAATTGTAGTGTTCAATCCTGAAGTGCTAAATATTCAAACTCTAAATCTACTTCCATTAACATAAAGGTATTACAACGTTTTGGGAAATTTTGAAAATTGGGTGGATAGTGATTCTTTACACTTTTGATATATTTGGATGCCCCTGGCCTGTGGATGTATTATAAGCACTAAAAAATTTAGCCCCTAAAACACTTCTGCTTTCGAGAAAAATTGAATATAAAAATTTACAGGTGCTCCTGGTAAGTTTTGATAAATTTCAAATAGCGCTAACGGCCGTACAATTGTAGCTGCGACCGTGAAAATCTCATAAGATGTAGTTGTGATATATAAACGGGAATATCTAATCGGTCAATTTTAGTCAAGAAACATTGTTTTATAGCTTAATTAATATCTTGACCTTGAGATGAGAGGGAGCTATACAACATAAAGAGTTTCTTATTTAGGCTACATTGACTCGATTTCAACCGCGACAACAGTCACTGAAAATTGTAGGATCCCATATGCTTTCAATATGTTCATTTGAACCAAATTCATGACCCCATACCAAAACTTTGTATTACCTTTAATCCATTTAGTTAATAACGACAAACTGCATCCTGAAGGAGGCTGAATCCTTAGGCAAGGCGGTGTACGGAGCTTACATCATCCTCAAGAGGTACCAGGTGAGAAGATGCGGCCACAAGGACAGTCCAGTCTCCGCCCATAAGTGTGTGATGAGCATGTTGGCAGACTCGAACAAGAACCACTACTTTGTTGCTACACAGGTCAGTATTTTTGTTAAATAAATTCAGTGATATTGCATTGTATAACTTACAGTACCCTATTTTGTAGTAGCTGAATTCTTTATGCATCCCCCCCCCCCCCCCCCCCCCTCTTTAAAAAAAAAAATTGAATTGTTTCTGATTTTCATAATACGGGTAGCTTGTTAAGATGAAGATGGTTTGAGATTTTTTGTTACAACCGAAAATTTAATTTCAAAATTGTTTGTGAAAAAACTAGAAAACATGGATTATTTAAATACATGTATCTTCCTGGTTTGTAATTGTTTGCAAAATGAGGAAATACCTCTTTGCCATTTCCAAACTTGTTTGGTTCTTCTTCAAGATGATCTGCCTCCTTCACTGCTGAAGATTCTTGCAGATGTATAAGTGCATGTGTGTGCTGATATAGGGATTCATTCATTCATTCAATTCATTAAAATGGTTTATTTTCAAATAAAACTTTAATCTTGAAATTTTCATTCATGCATAAGCATTTCCTTTTTTGTACTGAGCAATTGACTCATGAAGCAATGATACCTGGAAAAACATGTCTTTGCAGGTATCAATTGAATCTTTTTGTTTTATTTTCTTTTATGTACAGGATCCAGATCTGAGTGCATCGGTCAACGGAACCCCCGGAGCTCCACTTCTGTACCTCCATTTCAGCGCAATAGTCCTAGAGAAACCCTCGGTGACCTCTACTGCAGCCGCCTCCTCAATGACGTCTAAGAAAATTAACCCTTCCGAGTTCGAGAAGAGCGCTTTGAAAAAACTCGAAGGGGAGGGTGGGAAGGATAACGAAAAGAAGAAGAGAAAGAAGCGGAGAGGACCCAAGCAGCCGAACCCGCTCTCGGTGAAGAAGAAGAAGAAGAAGAAGAGTACTGAGCAGTCATCAGCTGTGACAAAAGAGACAGAAGGAAAGAAAAAGAGGAGAAAGAGGAAGAGGGTGAAGATATCATCGCATGTGAATGGGCAAAGTGAAGCCCAGCAAGACTCTGTGTCATGACACGCTCACTCGCAGTGAAAAAGAGAGAGTACAGAAGGATGTCTGATTCAAGACGAAAGAAGGAAAGAAGAAAAGGCGGAGGAAGAGAGTGGAGATGGCGTCTTTTGTGAAGGAGCAAATTCAAGGTCACCAAGCATTCACCTAGCGACATAATCACTCTTCACACCAATGAAAAGAAGGGTACTTCAGTATTGTCGGATGTTACTCTACAGAAAGACAGATGGAAAGATCAAAACAAAGAGGAAAAAAGATGGCGTCTGCTGTGAAGGAGCAAATTCTTGCTCACCAAGCCTCTGTGTAGCGAAACAATCACTCAGTGAAAATAGGAAGTATAAAGAGAGATCCTCAGCTGTTCGTGTTTACTGGTAGAAAGGTCATTCCATGTATGTCAAATCACTCGCGGAGCTGCCAACTAGTACGGATTTCCCGTAATTGGTATGGAAATTAACGATCATTAGGGCAGTAAGGAATGTTGTCTAAAATTACGGATTTTAAAACAAAAACAAATTTATTTATTTAATCCGTAATTTTAAACATGATTTATCGTAGCGAGTGCTGTGCGGTATGGCGGCAGTCCAACACTTGATGAAAAAGGCAGAAAAGTATCAAGTATTCTCTTAATAGAAGCCAATTTTTCATGAAAAACTGATGTGTTGTGATGACCTGAAAATCAATATTTAGCAACTGTGTTCGAGTAAAATCACCAAAAATTTCAGATAATCATGCGCGTATGCGTCCACACAATGTTGGCATGCCGTTTATTAAAGATTTATAGCGCCGCATAAGAAATTACTGATTTATTCCCCAAATTACTGATTTTGAGCCTTGTAATTACTGATTTTCTGTTCTGGAGGTTGGCAGCTCTGCACTCACCATGCTCTATTACTTTGAAATTTGGATTCATGGATAGTTCAAGTTAAAAAAAATCCAAATTTTAATGTTTTAACTCCATCTACCAGTGGTTCCCTTACTACGGCATACCCCTTTATTCTTACATGGCCCTTAATGTTATTAGGATATGATTACTTGTTTCTGCTGGATATAATGAAGAGAATGTTTGTACTTACGCATTAGTTTATTCATCATATGTTTCCAATTGAAAAATATTGAAGTCATATTTTTATGTCAATAAAGAGATGAATGTGAAATTGAATACTTGGATGGTTTTGTGTGTATTCCTTAAATGGAGATCTATTTTACATATATTTCGCAATGTATAGGATGTAGTATGCATGTGTCTGATACTAGATTAGCATGAACTTGTCTTTCTATTGCAGTCAAACCTGTCCTACTGGCCACCTGTCTATAAAGGTCAGTAGGTCACCTGTCTATACTGGCCATGTATTTTGTCTCCCCCAAGAAAGAAATGGGTGCATAAAACCTGTCTATACTGGCCATGTATTTTGTCTCCCCCAAGAAAGAAATGGGTGCATAAAACCTGTCTATAGTGGCCATGTATTTTGTCTCCCCCAAGAAAGAAATGTGCGTCATAAAACCTGTCTATACTTGCCGTGTATTTTGTCTCCCCCAAGAAAGAAATGTGCGTCATAAAACCTGTCTATACTGGCCATGTATTTTGTCTCCCCCAAGGAAGAAATGTGCGTCATAAAACCTGTCTATACTGGCCATGTATTTTGTCTCCCCCAAGAAAGAAATCTGCGTCGTAGAACCTGTCTAGAAAGACCACCTGTCTACCATGGCTACTCTTTGATTGTCCCTTGGGTGGCCTTTATAGACAGGTTTGACTGCACTACTTGTACTACTACTTGCGCCCTCTATATAGCAGACAATGCCTAATTGGTGACCATTGGTCCCCCATGATCCACTTTTTCTTAGGTTAATCAAGAGCTGATTTGATGAGATAAACACCTGTCGGTGACCATGCAGGGAGGTCTAATCCCTCCTGGCCAAAGTAGTGCAGAGGGGCTTTAAAAGACAGGTTTGACTGTACAAGTATATAATATGTATCTGATAGAGGGTTGTGGGTGTGTGTTGTAGACGTGAAAGTAGGTGATGGAGATTGATACATCTAGAGAAAAAGACGTGTATATTTTACATTTCTGTCCAGTGCGTGATTGTGTTTTTTTAATATGGCTACTTTGTGGCTTTTATTTTTGTAGAGTTTGAAAAATGAGGACTGTCTTGGAGAAATTTGTTATTGGAGGAAAATGTACCCGGGGAGGGGGGGGGGGGTACTCACATCTTAGGACATATGGGGTGTGCCACTCTAATGGGTCACTTTTTTACCAAAAACATGGGTTCCACTTTTAACAAAAAAAACATTAAAAATGGGTCATTTTTTTCAAATGTGCAAAAATTTTCGGGTAATAATGGGTATGGGTTTCGAGGTTTGAGCAGCACACCCCCGTCCAAACCAATTCTGAGAAGCCCCCCCCCCCCCCTACTTGAAAGTAGAAGTGTATTAAGGGCTAAATTTTCTAGTGCTTATAATACATCCACAGGGGCATTCAAATATATAAAAATTGTAAAGAATCACTATCCACCCAATTTTCAAAATTTCCCAAAACTTTGTATTACCTTTAAGTGAAATGTGAGAAACCTATTTAAAAGCAATGCTTGTTTATTATAGGTTCCTTGAAAAAACAATTATTGCCTTCTAGTTGAGTTTTCTAGTTTACCCTTCTCCCTATAGTTGGTGCTCTTCTAAAAGAAGCGAAACCCCAAACGAAGTGAATGTCGGACGAGGGTCTTCACACTATGAACATATGACGGACAAAGAAAGAGGACAAAATATACAGTTCCTCATTTTACCCTCAACAATTGCTGTGGTAGACAAAGGAACATCCCTTCACACCTATTATGTAAAAATAAGTAGAACAGGTAAATATGCATGTGACACCTGTTCTACACATTTTTACATAATAGCAGTGAAGGGATGTTCCTTTGTCTACCACAGCAATTGTTGAGGGTAAAATTAATGAGGAACTGTATATTTTGTCCGCTTTCTTTGTCCGTCATATTCATAGTCTCATTTGTTTTCATTCCACCATTTTTACACCCCCCCCCCCCCCCATCTAGGGCGGATTATATCACGGTGTTAAGAATTTAATTGGTCATATTCTGGACTAGACTGGGATTTGAACCCATAACCCGAGGACTGATAATCCAGTGAGTGAACCACTATACCATGACACCTCCACGAGTTGGTCGTGGATGTAAATCTCGGATGATCAGGGCAACGTTTACAAAATGAAATGTTTAAAAAGATAAGTCCCTAAAGGGTAGATAAATTGATATTTATTAGGCTCTACAGGTGATACGTATACGTCCTGATAAATATGTATTACAGTACGTAGGTATAAGCCTATAGATACTTAAAAAGTTCTTAAAAGAGGAAAGGGCGACCACAATATATAACAGAAATATATATATATATATATATATATATATATATATATATATATATATATATATATATAGAAAACTATTATTGAACGGAAATCAACGTGACCTGAAAACATCCTTTAGCCCCGTTCGGCCCTTGTCTAAGTCCACGAATATTTGTTTGCTATACCCAACTACAAATAGATGAATAGATATTTCGGGTTAGTTTTATAGGTCATTGTCTATGATATTTCTGTCGAAGTAGAGTTGTCATCGTATATTGAAGCAATTAAATATTCGTTGAAACAATCTGTATGCTTTTCGAATTATGGAAGAAACAGAAATTGACCATCGGGCGATTAAAGTTCAATCATTGTTATTACTGGCCGAGAGTTATAAAATGTGCCAACAATACAAAAATATATATACACAAATTGTGTGGTGTACGTACGTGTTGATTCCAAATTCTGAACTCTTGCACGCAGAACATTGTATTTGCGGCACAAGTGCAGAAGGTGTTTGGCGACATGGAGAACCAACGCGTAACTGTAGAGGAGGTTGATCAGGAAGCTGATGACCAGGTTGATCCCGAGAATGATCACGGAGGTGAAGTAAAGCTTGAGCGCAGGCTTAGTCTCTTGGATGGTATCATGATCAACGTCGGAGTCATGATTGGATCGGGAATCTTCATCTCGCCTAAGGGTGTCTTGGCCAGTGTCGAGAGCGTAGGTGCCACCTTGTGTATATGGGTGGCTGGTGGGATCGTTTCGGTCTTCGGTGCCATGTGCTACGCTGAGCTGGGCACGATGATTCCCGCATCGGGAGGCACTTACACCTACGTCCGAGTGATCTTTGGTGACTTCTGGGGTTTCCTCAACTTCTGGGCTTGTACCGTCATCGCGGGACCCATCGCCAATGCCGTTATCGCATTGATGCTCGCCATGTACTGCCTGGAGCCATTTTACTCCGATCCAGAATGTCCCCCACCAATGGTTGCGATCAAACTCTTCGCCATTGCAGCCGTCATGTTCATAATGTTTGTAAATTGCTGGAGCGTGAAGTTATCTTCTCTTCTGCAGAATGCCACATCACTGTCCAAACTTGTCGCTCTCGGCGTCATCATCATCACCGGCATGGTCAAACTGGGAATGGGAAACACTAAACATTTCCAAGAACCTTTTACATATACTAATATTAAAGGACTGGGGACGGGGTTTTATGCGTGTCTCTTCTCTTACTCTGGCTGGCAAAGCTTGAACATCGTTATTGAAGAACTAAAGAACCCATCCAGGAATCTTCCAATCGCAGTCATAGCCGCTACGACATTGGCGACTGTTGTGAATACCCTGACCAATGTGGCGTACTTCTCAGTGCTGTCCTCTGTGGAGCTATTAAACTCTGAAGCCGTTGCAGTCAGTTTCGCCGAGCAGGCGTTGGGGAGATTCTCTGTCATCATCCCTATCTCAGTTGTCTTGTCCTGCATTGGGTCTCTCAACGGGTGCATCCTGGGGGGTTCAAGGCAGTTCTTGGCGGGAGCCAGAGAGGGCCATCTTCCACGATTCCTAGCCATGGTTGGCATACGGCACAAGACACCAATTCCTTGCGTCATCGTTGCGTCACTCCTGTCAGCCTGTCTGTGCTTCGTTGACAGCGTTTTTACCCTGATCAATCTATTCAGCTTCGTCAACTTCCTCTTTTATGGATTATTAGCAGTTGGTCTCCTGTACTTGCGAATCAAAGAACCTGATCGACCAAGACCTTTTAAAGTCAACTTTATCATTCCTGTAATTTTCGCGCTGGTGTGCACGTTTCTTACGATTTTTGCTTTCTTAGGGGCGCCTGTGGATTCGATCATTGGCGTAGCCATCCTCTTGAGTGGAATACCCATTTACTTTATCAGGGCCCGATTCAACACACAAGTAACATGGAGGATGAAGCTTTACAGACATAACTTTGTTTTCTTCCAAAAATTAACGTTTGTCACCCCTGAAAGTCATCACGATGCGTGATGAATGACCATAGCGTATGAGCTAGCGTCAGTTCGATTGCGCTATTAGGCCTATACACATGCGCCAATCGAACAAGTGAGAACAAACGGCCAGTAATTTAACACAACGTTTAAAGTTGTTTATTTTTCATTC